TTATTTCTTAAATGCAATAATTAAAGCGATAGTAAACCTTATAATTTAAAAAAATAATAATTTTTCCCCTGCAAGGTAGTGTCATAATGTGCTGGTATGCATCACATACTTGCACATTATGTAAAACTTACCTTAAACAATGCCCTCCAGCGTCCTGTCACCACTGACAGGGCTTTCACCTTCACCCGGTCCTTCTAGGTTTATGGGCTCTGGCTGTCATGATCGCGGCGTCAGACCCCAGACCTTCTACCCAAACTCGTGACCGAAGGACTAGCCGATCTAAAACCGCGATGTCACGTGCGTAACAATGCCACACCCAGAGCACCCTGCACAACGATTTTCCAGCTAATTGGACCACAATCGATGTACCGGCAGCGTGAGCGATTGTTACTGGGTCAGGTTAATTACGCAATTAACCCTTCACACTGCCACCACCTCCTTTTTGTACAGAGAAAGAGGAAACTCGGCGATATCAGTTATTATATAATGGTTGAGGTAATCGTCTGTATAACACAGTTATACAGAGGGTTAAACAAACGCAGTAGCGTTCTCTTTAGAGGCAGGAATTCTTAAATTGCAATAAAGTGCTATAGAAACAGTTCAACACTTTCAGAAGGAAAGATTTATTACTAACAGGTCAAACGGGTGCAATAAAAATATTTACAGAAAAGATGTAACTAAGATATACAGTGGGGCAAAAAAGTATTTAGTCAGCCACCAATTGTGCAAGTTCTCCCACTTAAAAAAGAGAGGCCTGTAATTGGCATCATAGGTAGACCTCAACTATGAGAGACAAAATGAGAAAAAAAATCCAGACAATCACATTGGCTGATTTGGAAAGAATTTATTTGCAAATTATGGTGGAAAATAAGTATTTGGTCACCTACAAACAAGCAAGCTTTCTGGCTCTCACAGACCTGTACCTTCTTCTTTAAGAAGATTTCTGTGTCACTCTGTTTTCTCCTCTTCTTAGCATGCTCCTTGCATTGCAGCAAGTGTTGCTTCTCCGTCCCCCAGTCTGAGCTTTGCTGTACAAGTACTTCAACAGACTGATACAAACAAATTCTTTACTTAGGCTAGGTTCATATATGTGCGGGTGGTGGCGCTGCGGATCCACACAAAAATCCGCACACCACCCGCACAGAGGAATGCGGACCCACGGAAATTGCAACCGTACTGGTCACCGAGGTTCCCACGTGGGCTGCGTTTTCAGAAGAAGTGTAGGGACTTCTTCCCTGCGTGTCCCAGGGCACAGGAGTCCATTCAAATGTCACCCGCCCGCGGGTCTGCATTCCTCTGTTCGGGTGGTGTGCGGATTTTTGGGCAGATCCGCAGCGCCACCATCCGCACAGAGGAATGCGGACCCATGGGCGGGTGCTATTCATTCTAATGGCACGCCGTCTGCACTGGAAATTTCAACCGTACTGGGAACGGGAGTCCATTCAAGTGAATGGGTTCTCGTGCCCATGCAAAACGCAGACCGCAAGAACGCGGATATGTGAATCAGGGGTGACACTGTTTGCATTTGGAAAAAATAAAAAATAAAATGTACAGAAGTATTATTAAATACAGTCCTACACTAATTTGTATATCTTGTATTCTCCTAGGGTACAGCTTTGAGCTCAGAATTTTAAGGCCTCTTTCACACGGTGGTTGTCCTGCCGCTTGTAAATGCATGTTTTTTTATTTTGGAAATCCATCACTCCTGGCACAGAGATCACTCGCGTTTGTATGTTGGGGTTATCTGCGATTATATGTGTTTATGTGCGTTTACATGCAGCTGTGTTTAGCTGCGGTAGTACATTCTTGCCTTTTCTAATGCAACTGTTTACTTATTTTTTCTTTGTACTACAATTAACTACGTTTATGTACAGATAGCTGCGATACATCACTCCTGGATGCTGTCTACTTTATATTTCCTAGATGCATAAAACTGTATGTTATGAAAACGTTGCTAAACACAGTGTGTGAATGGAGCCATAGGGATGCATTGTCTGTATTTAACTGCGGTAAATGAGTTCCTCTAAACGCAGCTAAAAGCTGAAATCTAACCACTCATGTGAAAGGGGCCTTAACAACATAAATTCACTTTAATATAATTTACCTCAACTGTACTCTTATTTTTGAATATAACATATATACTGTATTCTCATTGAATCCTAATAGTATGTTATCTCATTGACACATGATAGCATTCACCGCTGACTTTCAGTACTGCAAATTGTAACAGAACACAAGCAATCAGCACTTTTGCTGTAACAATGACATTTTAGATTTTGTCCTAGTCATGAATCTCCTCATTTTGCTCCTATTACAACTTGAATTTCTGTTGGCTGATAGCCACAAGATACGCGTCTGCTCTTTGCTGACTAGATAAGAGGGGAAAAAATTCATAAATTAATCAATACAATTAACTATATATAGCTTTTCGGAGATATAGTTTAAATGGTTTATTGCTGGAGGTCTTTATCTGAGAAATGCGGTGTCTTTCTCTGTTGAATGAAATACCTTCTCTGCAGGAGAACGGAAATGCATTAAGAACAAGCGAATCAGTCAGCTGGGAACCAGTTATTGCAATACAGAGAAAATTTAGTGCCCATCCCACTATATTTAATAATCATATTTGAGTCAAATCTCGTTACTTGACTCATTCCACTTCAGTGAGTATTTATATAATGAGGAATCAAGAAATGGCTGTTGTTCCATAACTGTAACATATTATGACGATATTACTCTGTTAATGTAAAATATGAGTAAAAAATACCTTCCTGTTATTTTAAATTAAGAACGACATAAATAACCTGAAGAAATGAAATACATATTTAAATAAATATCTGCATTAGCTAGAGTTACCAACAGAAACCTGGATATTTTGTGTAGATTCATTTATGATACATTCCTATGACCAGAAAAAACTGTTGTATGTGGCGCCATGTGTCACAGGCCCCTGAATTACCTCTAATATGCGTTAAATACATATTCAACACTTAACGGTGGAGTTGCCTATGATGAATATACTTATAAACAGACCATCGCTGCATGAAGCATTCTTGTCATATCCATCAGGGAAGACATTAAACATTATGGAACTATAGCAAGTAAAGGCTTATTTTTATTGAATAGTGTACAGTCAGACCCATCTTTTAATCACTGAAGCTTAGAGGCTTGCAACCTTTGGCTGTCCTAACCTGCGCCTTCTCTACTAGGAACACACTGAAAGTTTTCTTGCATTACAGGGCTTGGTTCAAGGATTGTAGAGGTTTGTGGAGCATGTTAACCATTTGTTGTGCTTAAAAAAGACACTGTTACTTCATGTCTACAGATAGTCGACCCTCCCCAGGCATGTACACTTACCAACATTGCTTCATTGACTACCCACTACTACTACTGGAGCCGTGACTAAAGAACAAGGCCTCCATGTATATGGGAGCACATGACCTCCTCAATGTGATTGTGCTTGGGCCTGAGGGATAAACCAGGCCTTAACTCTGAAACATGTGGAGGTTCTGTGATGTGAGCTCAACCTCTGTCTAGGCTCCAACATCCGTTAGTTTCGTTGCTTAGATAGGAGAGAATAGTGCAGCTGGGGGGCAGCTGGGGAGCATAGATAAAGCTGGCCAAAGATGGATTAAAACGCACCCGATTCAGCAGGGACTTGACTAATTTGGATCAATCTATGGGTGTTCCCATTTGAGAGCAGTCAAGAGCAGCACAGAGAATTCCTTCATCCACCTACACCATGGCTGACTGATCTAAAAAAATTATTCATTTATGGCCAGTTTAAAGTGATACTAAAGCTTAATTTTTGTTTAGTCTTCTGGAACATTACAAATGTCATACTTACCTGCTTTGTGCAGCAGTTTTGCACACAGCTGCCCCATTCTTCTTTTTTTGGATCCCCTGCCATCGCTCCTGGCACCTCCCTGCTCCAGAGAAAGCTGAATGCCCTAGGGGCACTGCTGCATGCTCGTTCCCGAGTCGCTGTTATATACTTCCATAAGACACATAGAGCCACATCTCCGCCCCGCCCCCACTCTCTCCTCATTGGCTTCCTGGCTGTGATTGAAGCTCCAGAGAAAGCTGAATGCCCTAGGGGCACTGCTGCATGCTCGTTCCCGAGTCGCAGTTATATACTTCCATAAGACACATAGAGCCACATCTCGGCCCCGCCCCGCCCCCACTCTCTCCTCATTGGCTTCCTGACTGTGATTGACATTAGCTCCTGCTGCTCTCTCAGCCAATGAGGAGGAAGAGTCCCCATACAGCCAAGGCTTTCGTGCACATCACTGGATCGGAATGGACTCGGGTAAGAATGTGGGGGAGATCTGTACACAGAAGGTTTGCATGAAGATACAAAAAACTTTGAACCCTTAGAAGCACTTTAACCACTAGCCTACAGGGCACTTATACCCCCTTCCTGCCCAGGCCAATTTCCAGCTTTCAGCGCTGTCGCACTTTGAATGATAATTGCGCGGTCTTGCAACACTGTACCCATATGACATTTTTAGCATTTTTTTGTGACAGAGCTTTCTATTGGTGGTATTTAATCACCTCAGGGTTTTTTTATGTTTTCTTAAACAAACCAAAAACCACTGAACATTTTGAAAAAAAAGTTTTTTCTTAGTCTTTGTTATAACATTTTGTAAATAAGTGATTTTTTCTCCTTCACTGATGTGCACTAATGTGGCTGCAGTGATGGGCACTGATAGGCTGCACTGATGGACACTGATAGGTGGCACTGATGGGCACTGATGAGGAGGCACTGGTAGGTGGCACTGATGGGCATTGACAGGCATCACTGATGGGCACTGAAAGGCAGCACTGATACATGGCACTGATAGGCGGCACTGATAGGCGGCACTGACTGGCACAGATAGGCGGCACTGACTGGCACTGTTAGGCGGCACTGACTGGCACTGATAGGTGGCACTGATGCACACTGATATGCAGCACTGACTGGCACTGATAGGCAGCACTGACTAGCACTCACTGATAGGTGGCACTGATTGGCAGCACTGATAGGTGGCACTGATTGGCATTGATAGGTGGCACTGACTGGCACTGATGGATGACACTGAAAGGCAGCTCAGATGGGCACTGATATGTGGCATTGATGTGCACTGGTATGCACTGATATGTGGCATTGATTTGGCACTGATAGGCACTGGCACGTGGCACTGATCGACACTGACAGCTGGCACTGATGGATGCTGACAGGTGGCACTGCTGGGGCTACACTGATCATCAGGGCACACTGATCATCAGTGCCCTGATGATCAGTGTACATGTCCCCTCCGCGGAAAGCCGATTACCGGCTCTCCTCTCGAGCTGTCAGCGTGACAACTCGAGAGGAGGAGAAATGCCGATAACCGGCATTTCTGTGTTTACATGTGATTAGCTGTGATTGGACACAGCTAATCACATGACCAAGCCGACAACTTCGGCTCTTTCCGTGATCGGTGATCCACTGTGTCTGAGGGACACAGCGCACCGCCGATCGCCGCGCTGTGCGCTCCCTGAGCCGCACATGCGTGGTGAGAATGGGAGGGCGTCATATGACGTCCTCTCAGAACAAGAGAACCACCTTGCGCCCGTCATTGGACTATATGGCGGGTGGGAGGTGGTTAAAGTGGCTGTAAACCTCAGACATGAACAAAGCATATCTCACTACAGTGTTTACTCAAATAAAAGCACAAAGTGTCATCTGCTGTCTTGTTCCTCTGTTAACCGCATGAGTAATTTCTGACAAGTTTTCCTGACACCAAGAGAAAAATGGTGATGGGGAGGGACCTCCAGCAGATTGACAGCCTCAGCTCTGTTCCTGTGAGCTGTGTGGAGGGGGTGTGTGTCTTTTTCCTCCAATCAGCTATCAGAGCTCTCCTCACTGAGCTCTGCAGAGTGTAATTTCATCTCTCTGCCCCCTGTTTTCTGAACTCTCAGACAGGTTTTATAAATTCAGCACTTGAATAGCTGTAGAGAAGAGAAGACTGCAGATAGAATGTACAACGTATGTAGGAGGATTTCTTTCACCTCTGTGTATTTCCTGAGGCCATTCACTTCACTTGGTATATGTAAGGGTTTACAACCACTTTAAGCATACATGGGGCAAGTGATTGGTGAGCTATGTGCAGACCCTGCATTAATGGCAAAGTGGGGGTTATTTACTAAAACTGGAGACTGCAAAATCTGGTGCAACTCTGCATATAAACCAATCAGTTTCCAGGTGGTATTGCCAAAGCTTAATTAAAGTAGCTGAAGTTAGAAGCTGATATTCTACCATGCACAGCTGTACCAAATTCTGAGCACTCTAAGTTTTAGTACAGCTACCCAAGTGTCTCTTTGAGGCTAGGTTCACATCTGCGCGGGTGATATCGGTGAGGACTGCGGACCCGGGGGCGGGTGCCATTAGTTCTACTGGCACACCGCCCGCACTGGAAAATGCAACCGTACTGGGAACCAATGTTCCCGTGCAGGCTGCGTTTTCAGAAGTGCAGGGACTTCTTCCCTGCGTGTCCTGGGGCACGGGAGTCCAATCAAATGAATGGGCTCTTGTGTCCGTGCAAAACACGGCATGCATGGCCGCACATATGTGAATGAGGGCTGATAATAAATGTAGCCCCATGTATACATATACAGTATACATATATATATATATATATACACAGTGTGTGTGTATATATATATATATATATATATATATATATATATATGTAGATGTCATTTTATTCACCCCTTCATTCGTAACTGAAATAACTAGAGTTGGTTTTTAATTTATAATCATACGTTGCAATCTAAAAGGTATTAACCTGCTAATTGATACATTGTGAAATTTAGGGTTCTGTATTTTCCTAGATCACATCTCAGTTATTGGAAATTCACATTATAACACAAATCCTATTACACCGATTCGCATTTTCTTTTTTATCCAATAAACATGCTGGATATTGTAGCTTCAAACAAAAGAGTATGTTCTGGCGTACAAAGGAGAAAAAGATAAGGCAAAGAATATCACAAAGGGACTTGTCTTATTTTCTGATAAAAGGTTATCTCTGGCTGTTCTATAATATTCCTCTTGTCCTTAGAGGAAATATAGATCTAACAAATCGCTGAGGAATTTCTTTCAGGTAATAAAATTAGGCCATCAAATGACAACACAGATACATGCAGCTCACGCTAACAAAAAATATGCTTGGAAATTTTCATTTTTGAATGCTACAGTGATTTTCAAATATTAAATCTAAATCTTTAAATGCTGTAAGCAAGTTAAAATGAATTGTATTAAAATATACAAAGATTGTTTTTCTATGATATCAGAAATATTCCAGATTAGTTTACTGAACTGGAAGCATATTTCCGATACTATTGGAGTAGTATGAAAAAAATCAAATCAGTTTCACTTAAAAGCTGAAGTGGTATTAAAGTAGATCCGTCATTATGCTTTTTATTTTCTAGTTCTGTCCTCTATGGGAAAATGTACATGTAGTACTCTGTCCCATGTTTCTAAGTGCCTTCTAACCCTAGTTATGAGTACTGATCTGCTGCACTCTTCTCCTGCCATGGCCAATCTGACAACAGCTATGAAGGAGACTGTTGATTCATAGTTGCAGCTTGTGTTAGCTGGGATCATTTTCCATAGACAAGCAAAGAGGGAATGTAAAGGCTAACACATTTCCATCCTTCTGTATTCCTCTTGCCTTTACTTGTCTGTGGAATGTGTTCATAACTAAGGCAAGCTGCAGCTATGAAATCAGCCGTCTACTTCAAAGCTGTTGTTGAATCAGCTGAAGCAGGTTGGTAGTCATGATTATGCTTACAAAAATCTTATAAGCATGTAGAAAGTACTACATGTACTTTGTTCCATAGATGACAGAACTGTATATAAAAATTTTCATGATAGATCTTTCTTAACCTCTTTACACCTACGGCATTTCTTTAATTTGTCATACACTTGCTAACATCAACATTTTTTGTTAGACAATTACATAGAAACCCCCAAATATTACATATTTTCTGAAACAAATGCTCTGGAGATTAAAATGATGGCCTTTACCATCTATTTTATTGCATTATATTTGTGCAGGGATTTATCAAATACATCCTAAATTGTAAGTTCTACCGAGCAGGGCCCTCTGTTTCCTCTTGTACCAAATTGTATTGCAACTGTAATATCTACCTTCATTTTGTAAAGCGCTGTGCAAACTGTTGGCGCTATATAAATCCTGAATAATAATAAAATAATAGTATTTTGAAGACAAAATATACTAAAATTAATTTTAGTGTGCACAAACACAGTATAATACTTATATTTTTAGGGAAATATAAAAGATTTGGTTGTGTCAAGTAAATAAGTCAAGACTGAAAAAAACTTTCCTGTAGTTTTTTTGCCATTTAATGGGTGCACACAATTTTTAAAGGGAAGCTATAAAAGCCTTTACAGATTTTAACAGGTTAAAGTTAACTATGAAATATGGCCCTAGTATTTTTGCTTTCACTTCAACATAATCGCTGTTTACATACGCACATGGTAACAATGCCACGAGTGCATTCGATTGACATGTGTGCATGATTGGGAAAAGAGTGCTTTTACTTTTTTTTTTTTATATATTTTTTTTTATTTTATTACATTTTTGTAATACTTTTTAATTTTTTTTTCATTTGACTTTATTACTATCACAAGAGGCAGTTCTCCACACTACCGTAAAAGAGATTGTTAGGCTGTAGAGTCTCCCGGGTTACTGAGTGTAAAAAGTGATACCAAGTATCAGTTGCAGTTGCGGCTATAAGCTTGTTTTGACCACTTCAAGTCCAGGATGTTTTAAAATGTCCTAAGCACATGAAGTGGTTAAAGCCTGTTTTTAAATTAAGGAATTTATGTCTCTTGAGCCAAACAATAGAATGAAAAATTAAATGTTGGATCCATTGGACATAGGACAGTGCAAACACTTTCAATTTTAGGTGGATTTCTGGAACAGCCAGGCTCCTTGTTACAAGGAAACCTTTTAGAAAAATGGCCTAATATTAAATGTTTTGAACATAACTAACCTCATTTTAAAGTAATGTTTCTGTAAAGTGTGTGCAGATTAATTTATTAGGTCTGAGTATGCATAAGGCAGGATATTTTATTATTCTGTACTATCTGTACTAACTGTAGATCTTAAAGATATTTTACTTCTAGCTGTGTGTACAAAGAATTACAGTTATCCAGTTGAGAATAAACATACATGATTTACGTTGGTTGGTATTCTGTGTGAATAAGATCCTTAATTTTTCCTTTATGATTATTAGGTGGAAAGATGAGGGTTTGAGAAAAGCTGACATTTGCTCTCTAAGTCCTTTTACTGTCTGTGCTCAGTGGGTAACATTTTTAATAAACATTGGTAATAAGTTCAACTGCTATATGTTTAGAGTTTTGGGAGTATTGTATAGAATTTTAACAAATATATTGTGTGAGGGATTACTGGTGTTCTGTCAGTATTTGTGGGTGCATACCATGCCTCTTGCACCCCACCAATCACTCTGGGATCCTCTGTAAGTGTCAGGGCCCTCTCTCCTTGCCTTTTACTATTATTATTATTATACAGGATTTATATAGCGCCAACAGCTTGCGCAGCACTTTAAAAAATGAAGGTAGACATAACAGTTACATTACAATTTGGTGCAAGAGGAAACAGAGGGCCCTGCTCGTTAGAGTTTACAATCTTGGGAGTTTTTACCCAACCTACTTGGCATTCACCCCTTTTCCTTGTTCCCACTACAATACTCAGTCTCTTCACTCTCTGTTATGTCCACAGCTAATACTTCCCATATGGTGGACATCTCTCACCAAAGACAGACATAAATCACATTATGTGAGTTAATAATTATCTGGCGCTAGAAGTCATCTAACATGTAGCTCTCATATTCTTGTTGGTTCACTATTGGCACTCACATTTGTTTTTTGTATAGCAACAGAAATAACTTCACACATAGGCATATCTGAGAAGAATTTTTCTTCTCTGTTCTTCATCTTGGCAGATTAATTTCTGTCTTCACAGACATCAGTAGATCACCCAAAAATAACTAGGGGAATACCTGACACTCAGATAGGGCTCCTGAGACTCTGACTGTGCTTGGTTAAACCTCTTACATAAAAGAAGGGCCTATATGCTGCTAGCTATAGGCCTTGCTATCACTTTTCACTGGAAAACTGCAAAATTTCCAAAAAAGCTCTATGTATCCAATACGACAATTGTTCAAAGACATCGTTGGAATCTTTTTCCTTCCACTGACATGTTAATTTATGTCTACACATACATATTTCTTGCTATAATGTAGTGTAATTCCATTAATAAGCCTCTTAACTTCAAGTTTGCACCAGGCTGCTATCCCCAGACTAATATATTTCTAACAAATGCCTCCCGTACAGCCCTACATGGAAAACACCCAGACAGAAGCATTGAGCTGAAATTAGCATTCTGCACAATGTATCATGCAGTATACAAATAA